AGCTCAGCAGTGGAGTGCGGAAGATTTGGGAAGAAGCTTGGGGTTTACGAATGGCAACCGAGAGAAATGAATGAGAGCATCGCTCTCATCGAGGTGAGCGTGGGACGACTGCAATGGTGCCGAATCGCAGACCTGGGCACTGTAGCAAGCGGCGGGGATGTGACTGGATTTGAGCAGGATATCGGGTGATTTCTTTAATCCCTTTTTTTTGTTTCTTTTTTTGCTATATTACAGAGGTCAACACGTCACCGCCTGGCGCCTACCCCGCGTTGCCTACACCGTTGTTGCTGCCCCGCCGGCGACCGCTGTCATGTCCTGCTGCCAGACAGCCGGAGGACCGAATCGCGTGAGACCGTGTGGAAAATGTCGGAGGACCAAACTCGAAGCCGGTTGGGTCGAGTTGACCGAAACGGATCGGGGGCGGGTTCAGGTCCGAAAAATCGACCCTTTTGTAAAAATGGGTTGGGTTGACCCGAACCCAAATAGTGTCGGGCCAGTTCGGGGTTCGACCTGAACCCGACCCGTGACCCGAAATTGACACCCCCACTTGTGACGACCGGTCGAACCTTATTAATAAAACCCTTTCCCCTGCATAACTACCCCGTTTTCACGATAGAGAGGCTGGGCGGACCGAGCTCAGGAGCGGACGTCCATTTTCGCACGAAGAAGTTTCGTTTTGCTATTTTGAGTGGAAGGTTGTGATTAGGGATGAAATTCGACAAGTCCTTTTAACTCCTTTCCTATTCTTATCGCTAAATGAGTGGAATTTAGGGAAGCGAGAGGAACGACCAAGGGAAGAATGTTTGTTGAATTCTTCTTTCCTTTTTCTTATAAATTTCGTCGATTTCTTAATTTAAAAGCGAATGATATTTTCTTAAAGGAAAAAAGGGATTTTGAGGAAAAAGGAAGGAATTGAAGGCAAGGGGAAGGAATTTGGGAGAGGAAGAAGGATTTAGAGATTCCCATTTATAAGTGATTTCTCTATGGTATAATTTTAATTAAATTTTGTTAATTAATCATATTTTTCATGAAAGTTATATTATACAATTTTAGAGATTTTGGAGAGGGAGAGATCGAAGTTGTAGAAATTTATTCAACAAAGAAATTCGAAGTTGAGGTTGCTCCAAGGATCGAGGATTTGAAAGGATTAAAGTGGGTAATTATACTGGTGAAAATTTTTACAATTTATCTTCGTTTCAAATCTTAAATTTACAGCTCATACAATTGTTTATATTTTATATATGTTATTTCTTTTAAAGACTATTATAGATGAGACAATGAGAATTCTATTACATGAATTGATATAGAAATTATATAACTGAAATTGATGAAAGACTATGTGCATATGGAAGTTTATAAATATGTGAAAGAAAATATATGTAAAGGAAATGGAAGGTAAAGTTGAAATGCATATTTATGTATATATCATACGTATATACATATAAAAATGCAGATAAATAAATGTTAAAGAAAATGATATAATATCAAATGAAACTAAGGGAAAAGGATATGCATGCAAAGTACAGGAGTTACCCCCGTATGGTACTGGCTAGAGAAGCAATGTACCCGTGCACGTTAAAAATGAAATTAAAAAGAAAATGGAAATGGAAATAAAAATGATTGTACCTTTGGCACATTTAGGCGGTGCTCCTGTACAATTAAATGGGGAAAAAGAATGTATAGTAAAGTAAAGTATTTTAAGTATGTAAATGAAAATTTTATATTATGCATAAAAGGCTGAATGGAATAAAATGAATAGAAATCAAAGAAATGTATGCCACTTGTTAAATGAATAGACATACATCAGGAATTGATTGTATTATATTTTATACGTTAATTGATAATGGTTACCCGCTGAGTTTACAATGTAAACTCAAACCACTAAATTAATGTTTCAGGTAAAACCTCAAAGAAGAAAAAATGACTGAAATGGAAGAATTCGTCTATAGAAGACGACGTGCAAATGACAACAGGTAAAAGGATTGTTGAGAATGCTTAGTTCTGCCATATATTTATTATAGTTTTCTTTGTGATTAGTGGCTCTTCAGTTGTTGAAAAGTTTATGTTAAAATTTTTTTTTATGTTGATGAAATTGTAATACTATCCGACTTTTCGTTCCCGCCTCGTTAGATTGAGCATCCGGGCCGGGTCGTGACACCAATACTTAGGATCAGCTACAAAATTGAAACTATATAAGTTCAAATTTAAAAAATAATTGCATCAAATTTGTATCCTAATCCAAAATTAAGAAAATGATAAAGTTACCCAAAACATCTTCCAAATTTAAACTCATTCTTATTCTTCAATAATTTTGGATTTCGATCAAACATTATGAACTTCCTGCCTCCTCAAATTTTCTCATCAAGCCTCCAATTGACAATATATCTTTGTCAATAGACTCCTAGCAATATTTTCTTAGATCTCAACAATGTGATGTAAAAACCGCCACCATTAGCACTCTCCATCAAGAATCGGTCAGTCTAGAATCATCAATTAACTCGATCTTTAGATCCCTCGCAATATGTCGCACAAATTATGAGAAAAACTTCTTCTCACAAGCTTCTTAATTAGATGATACGATTGACGTCCCCTTCATGATTTAATCTCCAAATTAACTTACCAATCTAGAAACCAAAGATTAGTGGAGGAATTTCCTAAGAAGATTGGGTGAGTGGATGTTGACTCCTATGGAGTCACCAACACTATAAACACTTTTGTTCTCTAGCTTTCACTCTTTTATTTTATTTCACGTGTTTACATCTCATACACTTTTCTTAATTGACTTGCTCATGTTCTTGATAGTTGGGGTGCATTGACTCTGTTTAAAGTTATATTAAGTTTTGATTTATTCTTAGAAAACCGAATTCAGAACCTCCTCCCTTTCTTGCAAGCCTGCATATGAGCCAATCCTTAGGCTATCAAATGGGAATAATTGATAGACTAGCACAGAACTATTAGAAATCATAAAATTCTGCAAATTTGCTTGATTGATCATGATGATAGCACATATATATCAATATAAAGGTAAGAAAATATAAGAATAAGAAAAGTACAGCAAAAGATAATATTTTGTATAAGGAGGATCTATTATAATGATAACTATTTACATGTGATAATATTAATAATGGTAACATAAAATTATAACAACATAAAACCTCCACACTCCCACTCAAATCAAACTCACAATGTGATAGCAAAACACATTGAGAGTTTGTATAATGCAAGAAGAATTTAGTATCTAATTCAAGAACTATTTATCAGCTTTCTAGAATTGTTAAATTGAGCCAATCGACCATAAAATGAGACATTCTCAGGGAAAACCAAGACCAACATAAAGATTAGCATTGGGCTAGCCATTTCTAAGACTGAACGTGGCGTAGTCATCACGGCAGAAAAGGTGCTCATGGGATCTTCATGAGGTCTTCAAGATAGGAGCTGAATAAGAAGACTTCGTCGTGGAAGGTGAGATTTTTGCGGCTTAGAATTGTCAAGATGGGGCATTGTTCAGAGAGCAAGATCAAGAAAAGCAGCTCTCAAAAGTAACAAGAGGTTTTAGAAAATATGAGCAATGAGCAACAAGTCCTTTCACACTATAGTAAGATCTTTGGGAGATAATGATCTCTCAAATCACGAGCGAGAAGAAGACATTAGTGAAGATGAGAGATCTATGGGATAAAGTTGATTGTCGGAGACAGCCATGAGACCCACATGATAAAGACGATCACAATAGAGTAGGAGAAAGCAGAGATTAGCAAGCTCTCAAATGAGCATTTTAGGGAATGAACATGGCCTCAATCACAAGACAAAAACTTCAGAAACTAGCACAAACACTATATTAGAAATCAGAAAAGGTTGCATTTGATTGATAATGATGCTAGAACAAACATGTCTATATATAGACAAAATAATTGAGCAATAAGAAAAATATAATAAAGAAAAATATCCTCCATAATAAGAATATATTATAATAACAACACTTTAAGTTATTAATTATATTAAACATATGTGATAATATATTAATATCAACAAGATAAACCAATAATTTTAATAACATTAACAATAAATAAATAAGATATTTTATGGTCATCACTCAAAGTTAAGTAAAACATTTATGGTTAAAAATAGGTGCCCTTAGGGGCTTTTTTTTTGGATGAACATATAGACAGTGTGAGGAGAGATTTTTAGAACAATACATAGACTAGGAAATTTGTATTATTTGTTGACCAACAACACGGGATGCTCAAATAAGAAACTAAAACCAGGGTAAATAAGAATTGTAGAAATGACTTGTATAATAAAAAAGATAAATATAAAATTATATAAAAGAAGTGCAAGAGTGGGAAAAGTGAGGATAAGCTAAAAATAGATCAAGTTATCATAGAATATCAAAAGGAGAGAAATGCAAACTTAGCATAAAAAGATGGAGGTGAATCATAAAAGGTGGTTCAAAAAAGTAGGGAAAAGCTGAAGTTGATGACAATACTAATAATACAATGCCATGAGTCCTTGAATTTTAAAATGCAACTCAATTTCTGAAAAACAACCATTTCATTGAAGCACACATCTAGGTATTCAACGTGGAACCATTTACATAAAATTAAGTAAAACTTTTAAACATCGAGGCATATTTTGATGTAATAATTGAAATTTCATTGGAAAATCCTAAGTTAATCATCACTTTTATGGGAAAACTCTTAGGTTGGGGACCTATGGAGAAGTTGTACCAAGGAAACAAAATCATGATGTCATTAGGTAAAGTGGATGGTAAATTGAATTAAAGCAATATTCCAACTCTAAGATTGTAACAAAGTGCATGTGGGACAATAATTTTCCATGAGGATCGCATATTTAACTCGTGTTGGGAAAAATGCAATATAGTGAGAACCACTTCTTG